AAATTGACGACGTGATGAACGACTCGTTGTACTTGAACTACTTTTTGAATTTGATGATGATGATGATTGAAATGAATCATCTTGTATACGAGTAACTACTACATCAATTATTGTTGATTCATGTACTGGTGATTGAATGTGCAACTAGAAAACGATTTGATAATGGTGAAATTTTTTCATGATTGGAATTAACATCAAATGAATCTTGTTGTCGTTCATTATTTTCATCAGACATATCTAGAATGTAATTGAGCAAAAATACATCAACATAGTCATTCTTGACATCATCGGATAAAGATGTAACCTTGTAGATTAAAAACAAAAAGTCTTTAGAGTAGGATTCATCAAATACTAATCTCGGAAGACTGTAAACAGCTGATTAGAAGAAAACCAAGAAATTAATCCAACCATTAATAATATCATTTTAGCGCCACCTGTACTAAAGGAAACTACATTGATCATGGCGTCTATTTTTTTCTTCGTCTTGTTTTCACTATAGATAGATGGCTAGAACATTAAGTGTGAAGATATGGTAAGTTTGTTTTCTTTCTTTGCTTCATGTAAATGAAGTAAACAAAGAGATTGAATGCATGTATTCGTACATGCATATTATTTCAAGCTTGACACAATCAATTACGGCATACTAAAAGAAAAAAATGTTTTTGGTATGTTTGAAATATAATGTGCAAGGTTCCTTGTGTTTCTTGTATGCGCTACTCAACTATTCGTAAGATAAATATAGCCTAAGGGCAAGAAAAAACTTAAGAATTAATTTTTAAATGCTGAATTATTGACACTCGTTGATCGATGTAGATTATTCGTATTTCTTATACCAATTGCATAGAAAGACGCAATAAGTTCTATTTTAAAGTATGTAAACTGAGAGTAAATCATTTTTTCATGGTTGTTGTTGTTTTTTCTATGATTTCAACTGTTTCCCCTTAGGAGGTAAAAAAACAACTGAAGTACGTAATTGAATGAATCAAATAACTGTATTCCGTTGTCTCCCTTTAAAAATAATAGACACGTTGAAAGTATTTCATCATCTATTAATGTCAACAGAATTCTGTTATTATAAACTAATGTTCTTGCATTTGGTAATTATTGCCCTTCTCTTATGTTATTTCATAAGAATCATCAATGATGTTTTCTATCGAATACTATGACGTTATTTTTTCTTTTTCAGACGATTAATTTCAACACGAAAACATTTTAAATTTATTCAACCCTACCTATGTTTCATTATTGATGAAACAACGATTACTTGCAGAAAAGCATCAGTCGAACCAAGTATTTTCTATTGGCACTGGTCATGATAATGGCTAACAAAGAAGTAATATAAGTCTTTCCCTATATATATATTCTCTTGTATTCTAAAGACAGTCTTGTTGACTATATAGAAATAGATGTGTGTGTTCATTCGTTTGAGTTAATCATTTAAGGAAATTGGAGATGTTTGCGTGACTCGGATGATAATAGAGAGGGAGAATTTTTTTCTCCAGTGAATAATCCACATTTATGATAAACAAGAAAGAAAAAAAACGATATGTTGAATAGACTCTATGGACATCTTGTAAGAAAATTGATTGATTAAATATGATTAATTAAATAAACATAAAAAAATTTGTTTGTTTTATTGTTATTTTTAGGCTCCTATAAATGATTCCAATTTGTGTATGGTTTTTTTTCGACGGCGATGTAAAAAATTTATTTCAACAACTAATGATCCATCTCGTTGTTTTTGTGGTCGACTAGAATCTGAACATGATAATAATGCTGAATATCATCCATTATCTCCTGTAAAGCCACCCAATCGTGCGCTTAAATCTATATCAACCAAACTTCTTTTTACTAATCCGTCCCTTGATCAATCTGAACATGATTTTGAACGATGGAATGTTGCTAAACATACAACACTTTATCCAACAAACGCATATGGAATTATTGAGTTTGAAAATATGCTTCATCCAGCCAAAGCACATTATTTACGCTTAGCTTATGATACAAATCCATCCCAAATTGTTCATCTTTTTACAAAACAATGGCGATTACAATTACCAAATCTTGTAAAGAGAAAAAAATAAAGCTACTAAGAAAACATATTTATGATTTATATATTTATTTTAGATCGTTAGTATTCATGGTGGTATACAAAATTTTGAATTAGAACCCCGTCTTCGTCAAGTATTAAAACGTGGTCTTTTAAAAGCAGCAAAAACTGCTGGTGCATGGATATTTACATCAGGTATGAATACAGGTGTTGTTAAACATGTTGGTGATGCACTTTTTATGAGATCAAGAATTCGCTCAAATATTGTTGTCGTTGGTATTGCACCATGGGGTGTTATTCAAGGACGCGAACAATTAAAAGGACAAAATGTAAATATAATCATAACATTTATATTTTATGTACTCAAAAATACCTAGAAAAAAAATATACATTTCTTCTTTCTTTATTTTTAAGCAAACAATTTCTTATCATTCAGCAGCAGTTGTTACAGAAGACAATTGTGCAACATTAAATAGTTCACATAGTTGTTTTTTACTTGTTGATAATGGAACAGTAGGAAAATATGGTGGAGAAGTTATACTTTGAAAACGTTTTGAAAAATATCTTTCACAACAAAAAATATCATTTCATGGTAAACCTAAAAAAATATCTTTTATTTTTCTTTCTAATCTCATTTGTTTTTTGTTTTCTCTTTTTATTCCAATGCAAGGTCATGTTGGAAAACAAAATGTGCCTGTTGTATGTGTTATTGTTGAAGGTGGAACAAATACAATTCGTACCGTACTTGAATATGTTACTGAAGAACCACCAGTAATATTTAATTGTCAAAAGTTATACATGTTTTTTTTTTCTTTTTATTTAGGTTTCTGTTGTAGTTATTGATGGAAGTGGTCGCGCTGCTGATCTTATTGCATTTACATATAAACATACACAAAATGACGGGTATTATTTAATTATAATCATAAAAAAGAAACAAAAAATATGTCTTACTGTTATTTTAGAACAATGGCAGCTGATTTACAAGAACAATTATTAAATGCTATTGAAAAAACATTTAATTATAATCGACGACAAGCTGAAAAAGTTTATGTTGAATTAATTGTATGTATGAGAAAAAGACAATATATAACAATCTATAGAATGGATGATGATGGATCAAGAGAACAAGAAGACGTTGATCAAGCTATTCTACGAACTCTTCTTCGGTATGTCTTGTTTTTTTAAAGATTTTGTTAATCTGATGTAATGAAATGTAATTCAGACCAATCAGTTTTTTTAAAATTTCAGTCTTAATGATTCTGAGACATTTTCGTTGTGAAAACCAGAACCAAAGTCATTTTCATATATTTTCATGCGTCCTACGGCTTTTTCTTTCATTCATTCAAGAGCAGTAGCTGAATACAATGGTTGATTTCATACTGAGTAATAGGATTATCAAGGCATGTCATCTAGTACTATCTTACATACGCCGTACTTACATATTGATTGTATTTCTGGATATCTATAACAGTACAAAAAAAAAGACACGATGATATGTGATAATTAATATTAGAGATGTTTTCTTTTTTGCTTGAAAGACTTTGGAATTAATTAAAGAATGAATACCTATATTTTTCTACTAATTGTTTGAAGATTAGAGATATGACAATGAATAATTTTGTTTATTATTGTGAAACAGAAAAAGAAAATTATTAAATCAAAGAGAAATGTTCAATTTTTTTTTGCAAATGTAAGAAAATAGAAATGAAATACTTCTTAACACTTGATGAAAGCCTAAATTATTTATATCGTTGATTACATATACTGTGGTAAAAAATAATCAATTAAGAATTTAAACTCCATAATCTTTTGTCTAAAATCAATTGAGAATTCTTTATCCATGTATGGAAAGTCTTTTTATTTCTACTAAAGATCGAAGCAAAATTTAAGATATTAACATCAAAAAACGAAAACTAACTAGCTTCTTCTTTTCTATTAAAGAAATCATAAAACAAGTGCACTTGAACAATTTCGTTTAACACTTTCATGGAATCGACCTGATATAGCTCAAACATGTTTACTTACAAAACGTTTAGAATTAACTCAAGCTCAATTAGATGTATGCATGTTTGAAGCACTAGTCGATAATCGTGTTGAATATATTAAATTACTTATTGAAAATGGTGTATCAATTAAAAATTTTCTTACATTTAATCGTTTACAAGCATTATATAATGCATGTGGATCAAATACAACACTACATTTTATTGCTAAAGATGTTATACGTAGTGCAAATCATCATGTACAAACAAGAGTTTATTCATTATATGAAGTAGGCCTTATTATAGAAAAACTTATTGGACATGGTTATCGTTCATCATATACACGTCGTAATATACGTCATTTATGTGCACGACAACCATTTAGTGAACGACAAAATTTTAATGTTTATATTGATGCTGAACTAAAAGAACAACATGCACAAATTAATAATAATGTATTGAATGATGATATGAAAAAGAATTCAGTGTGTGAAGATCCAAAATTTGATTTTCCTTATAATGAATTGCTTATATTTGCTGTTTTAACAAAACGACATGAAATGGCATTATTTTTTTGGGCGCACGGTGAAGAAGCATTAGCTAAAGCGCTTATTGCATGTCGATTAAACAAAAGTTTAGCAAGAGAAGCACAAGATGATGAACTTGATACTGAAATTGCTGATGAATTTTTGTCAAATGCTGAAGATTTTCAACAAAGTAATTAGAAATTTATTAATTAATAGCAATAGGAATGTAACTAATATCATATGTACACAATCTTTTTCTTTTCTATATTAACTTGAAAAGATCTGCAGTATATATATTTAGAACCTAAACGAGTCACTGAGAGACAATCGGAGTGTATTGAATCTTGAAATACAACAAGACTTTGAATGTTTCCCACAAATACTTGAATTTCGCTTAAAAACAGGACCTTGAAATTCACACTAGAAGCATAATCAGTAGAGACCTGCGTGACCAGTCTGTCGTGACCAAAGAAAAACAAAAATTCTTCGATAATACTTTCCACGGTGGATGTGAAAACATCAAACAGAATTACTCTTTCACATCCATGGCGAAAACCATTATCGAAGAATTTTTGTTTTTTTCTGGTCACGACGGAATGGTCACGCAGGTCTCTAATCATCAGGTAGTCTGTGCCATCTATCCAGACGTAATTAGAGGACTGAGTCCTCCTCTGGTACAGCTTCTTTTTTTCTAGTTACGCCACTAATAGTCTAGTGTCAATTTGATTTATAAATAACTAGACTTATAACATGAGTAATTGTCGATTGAAAAGTTTATTGAAAATATAAAAACTTTTTTTTCTATTATTTAGGAGCACTTGCACTTCTTGATCAGTGTTATCAAGAAGATGATGTAAATGCTACTCAAATTCTTACATTTGAACTTGAAAATTGGTCTAATTGCACATGTCTTGATCTATCTGTAACAGCTTATCTTCGAGATTTTGTTGCACATAAATGTTGTCAACAATTATTATCTGACTTATGGATTGGTGGAATGAATGTTCGAAAATATCTTAAATGGATGGTATTGCTTGCATTATTTTTTCCACCAGCACTTTTCTTTATCGATTTTAAATCATCGAAAGAATTACAATTGATGCCTCAAACAGAAGAAGAATATTTTCAAAGTACGATAAATTCATAAAAAAAAAACCCTTTCCTAGAAAAAAAAACATTTTTATTTGTACTATTTTAGATGAAGAAGATCTTATTGATAGTGATAATAATGATTATGATTCAACTGATAATAGTTCCGAAGATTCAAAATCATCATCATCAGATGAATCACATGAACCAGTACTGTCTGTTACAGATCGTGATGAAGAGCAAACTAATGATGAAATGCAAAATGAAACAAACACATTACGAAAACGTAGAAAGAAAAGTCTAAAGAAAAAACGAAAGAAACAAAATAGTAGTACAATACATCCAGAGGATCAACCATCACCACCAACAGCAAATAATCATAATAATCGATCGGATGATATCAATTTATTTACATTGAATAAATCAACATCTAATCACAATCTACCATCAACAACTATACCAATAACAACAATATCAATAAATGAACACGATGAAATAAGTAATTCAAATGATGTTCCAAATCAACGACGAACATTTCGAAATCGTTTAGCAAATTTTCAAGCAACAATTCGTCATTCGACTATATATCATTTTATTTGTATATTATTACGTCAAACAAGAAAATTTCTTCGTCGTCATCGATGTTGGAAAAAACCTGATCGCGACATTAATTCAAATGATAGTACAGATCAAATATCATTAATGAAGAAAGTTTATGAATTTTATAATGCACCAGTAACAAAATTTTTCCAAGATTTAATTTTCTTCGTTCTATTTTTGGCTATTTTTACTTATGTTGTACTAATTCGTACACCACCTAAACCTTCCGTATGGGAATGGATATTAATGTCATATTTAACAACAGTTGCTATGGATTTAATAAGAGAATTATTAACAATGAGTGAAACGAGATGGAAAACTTGGTTACCAGTTTATTTCAATGATGTTTTGCATTTATATGATTCATTTTCGTGTTTGATGTTTGCTGTAGCTTTTGGTTTGAGATTAACAAATGCCTTTCGAATTGTTGGAAGGTTATTATTGTGTATTAATTTAAGCTTCTGGTATCTTCGAATGTTTCATTTTTTGGTTGTATCAAAAGAAGTAGGACCATATATTCATATAGCAGCAAGAAATGTAAGTACAAATGTTTTAAAATGTTTGCTTCTCCATATAAGAAAAAAACCTGATTCGATTAAATAACCCATATTGTACATGCATTAGCATTACTATAGATAGGAGAATAGCCGGCCATTTAACTATTCAACAACCACTAATTGATTACCAGTATTTCAGAATGTTTTTGTCACTAGCAACGAGATATAGCGCATATTATTCTGACGAGTTTCGTCCGGCTGGCATAACATGGGAATAGTATTTTTTTTTGGTAATTGAAGACAATTAAAAATAATATTTTCATGATTAGAATTAATCGAATGAATGTTCATCTCAAACTTTTACAAATATAGCAATGTTATATTTGTTCGAAATGTTATTTTCATATATTGCTGTACTGTCGTATTTGATCATAACTCATGTCACATGCTTGTTCGCACTACTGCGGATCAGAGAACTACTATCGGTGTACCACACATCAAAGTTGTAATCGATCCGATCTGATTGGTTCAAAAGCTCTTTTAGACTAGTGAAAACTTAACAACTAGCTGATTTGTTGAATCGTTTTCAATTGGTTAATAGGAGCGGCTTTCAAAAAGAATGCTCATCTCCCTTTTTTTACATTTAGGTTTTTATAAGTCTCTGAAAAGAAATATCATTTTTTAGTCATCTATATCTGTTAGATTTCACAAATATGACTATGTGATGGTCCTCTGTATAGCACGAAAAAATAAGAACCATTTATCGTATAGTTGATGTATAGACAAAACTAATCAGCTTTCTTCGAACAACGGGTCGAACCTAAATCTGATCTCTAAAAGAATAAAACAATGTAAACAAATAAAAACAAAACTGTTTTTTTATTATTTTGATTAGAGTACTAAAACCCTGTACTGTGCAGGTTTCATCAAAGAAATAGAGTGTGTCAATAAAACTTGTTTCAACTGATAAAACCTGGTGAAGACGAATCGAGTCAGTTACAACTATGAGTCATACTTTGCCTTTTCTTTTTCAGAAAAAGTTATTGCCCTTAATTTATCATCTATTTCAAACTGGTGCAGATAAATAATAAAAAAAGTTAATCTTATTTTTTTACTCTTAATAAAAAGACATCATCGATCATGTTTCCTATACCTGACCACTATCATAAGTTTTTCATGAAAACAATGTTTAGTTTTTAATTTTATTTTGAAACCGCAACCACAAAAAAAAAACCAATAAACAACATATGTATCATATATAAACAGTCAATAAACAAACGATAACAATAATTTTCATGTTTTATTCTTAACTTTTGTTTATTCATATTATTTTATGAGGTATACATAAAAAAGTAAAGTGCTCTTGAAGATAAACTAGAACGACTTTTCCTGTTGATATAATCCATAATGGACAATGAAGATTCACTAAAAGAAGATGTTTTCTACGCACATAACAAGTCTTTTAATTCTTGATTCTAATTCATTCCTTTCATAAACAGAGGCTGACAAATTAATCGACAATCGACTTCCGAGAACACTGACGTTTTTCCTTTTGTTAATAAAATAGAACAAAGAAAGATTTTGGGTAACTGCGCTGATGGCAGTAAAACAAAAATGAGAACAAATCAAGTTAATGATATTTAAATGATTGTTCAACTGATTTGTAATTGATATAAAATTCTACAAGCATTTCAGCATTAAAATATTACAACTTTCCTTTCTGAAAGCAAAAGAAAAGTTAAATTATCACTCCCTAGTTACAAGTCTTGCGCAAATTATACCAAACGGTTAACCAGAAGTTTCCTATTATTCATTCTATTTAGATTATCGATTTGTTTCGATTAATTGTTATTGTATTAATTGTTCTAATGAGCTTTGGTGTATCAAGGCAAGCGATTAAAAATCCTGATATGGACTGGAGTTGGCATTCTGTTAAAGAAATATTTCTTGAACCTTATTTTATGGTATGATCATGTTCTTTTGTTTTTTGATCTTATTAATAAATTTCTTTATTTCGTTTACGAATAGCTTTATGGTGAAGTATATGCTGACAAAATCGATCCAGTATGTAATGTAACCGAAGATCCAACCAATGCATCATGTCAATTCGGGCATTTTATAACTCCTATTACTATGACAGCATTTCTTCTTGTTTGTAA